GTTCATTTGGAAACAATAAGTTCAGTTTGTCTTTTAATTCAGATATTATTGAAACTGGTTCACTTTTGCCTTATGATAATCTGTATTTACTTGATAATGTGACCACCTATAATGAAACCCTTAAAACAGAATCACGGGGTACTAAACGTAAAATTGATGATATTCACTCAGGAGCATTATGGCACAGGCGCTTAGGTCACATCTCTAAAAATAGAGTTGAACGACTTGTGTTAAATGGAATCTTAGAGTCCATTGACTTCACAAACTTTGATGTTTGTGTTGAATGCATTAAGGGCAAACAGACCAAAGCGAAGAGATTAGGTGCATATAGAACTACAGACGTCTTAGAGTTGATACATACGGATATTTGTGGACCATTTCCTACACCTTCGTGGAATGGTCAACAATATTTTATATCATTCATAGACGATTACTCACGATATGCATACTTATTCCTTATTCATGAATAGTCACAATCTCTAGACGTGTTCAAAACATTTAAAGCTGAAGTTGAAAATCAACTCAATAAAAGAATTAAGTCTGTCAGATCTGATCGTGGTGGTGAGTACTATGCCAGATTTGACGGGTCAGGTGAACAACGTCTAGGACCTTTTGCCAGGTACCTAGAGGAGTGTGGAATTGTCCCACAGTATACCATGTCGGGATCACCTAGCATGAATGGTGTAGCTGAAAGACGAAATCGAACTCTTAAAGATATGATTAGGAGTATGATTTGTCATTCCACCTTACCAGAGTCACTCTGGGGAGAGGCACTAAAGACGACAACTTATATTCTGAACAGAGTACCAACTAAAGCAGCAACCAAAACACCTTATGAGCTTTGGACTGGGCGACAACTTAGTTTGAAGCATTTCCATGTGTGGGGTTGTCCAGCTGAGGCAAGGCCTTATAAGCCAAATGAAAAGAAATTGGACTCACGAACAGTAAGTAGTTATTTTATTGGTTATGCTGAAAGATCCAGGGAATATAAATTTTACGATTCCACATTAAAGACAATTTTTGAGACAGGAACTGTTACGTTCTTTGAGGATATTGAGTTTGGGGGAAGAATAAAATCAGGAACTTTGTCTTGGAGGAAGAATCGGTAACAATTCCAAAACCGATTCAAATAGTTACTTTTGGTAAAGTAAGTTTGGAACCTCCATAAGGCATTGTTAATGAACCCCTTACTCAAGATGATTTGGTTGTTCATGAAGAACAAACTCAAGATCCTCAAGAACCTGTGCATCATGAGCCAATAACTTTGCGGAGATCCATTAGAGAAAGAAGAAGTGCTATTTCGGATGATTACATGGTATTTCTTCAAGAACATGAGGAAAACAATGGTATGATGGAAGATGACCCAGTTAACTTCCGTTAAGCCATGCAAGGTTCTAACTCTGAAAAGTGGATTGAAGCAATGAAGGAGGAGTATAAGTCCATGCAAGACAACAAGGTTTGGGAACTTGTCCCATTACCAGAAGGTATGAGACCCATTGGTTGCAAGTGGATATTTAAGACCAAACAGGATTCTAAAGGTAATGTGGAAAGGTATAAGGCTCGTCTGGTAGCTAAGGGCTATACCCAAAAGGAAGAGATTGATTTTAAAGAGATTTTCTCTCCAGTTTCATCAAAAGACTCTTTTAGGACAATCATGGTTCTTGTAGCACATTATGATTTGGAGCTTCATCAAATGGATGTCAAGACGGCGTTTCTTAATGACAACATTGATGAGACGATTTATATGGTGCAACCAGAAAATTTTGTGCAGGAAGATTCAAAGAGTATGGTTTGCAAACTGACAAAATCCATTTGTGGACTAAAACAAGCATCTCGTCAATGGTACTATAAATTTCATCAAGTAATTCTCTCATTTGGCTTCAAGATGAATATTGTTGATGATTGTGTATATCACAAGTTTAAGGGGAGTAAGTATATTTTCCTGATCTTGTATGTTTATGACATTCTACTTGTTACTAATGATATGGACATATTGCACGAAACCAAGAAAATTTTTATCAAAGAATTTTGAAATGAAAGATCTTGGTGATGCGTCTTTTGTATTAGGAATTCAGATACACCGAGATCGGTGTCAGGGTATTTTGGGATTATCACAAAGGAGTTATATCGAAACAATTCTTAAAAGGTTTGGCATGCATGAATGTAAATTTGGGGATACTCTAGTTGCTAAGGGAGACAAGTTTAGTCTCAATCAGTGCCCAAAGGGAAATTTGGAAATTGAGGAAATGCAAAAGATTCCCTATGCATCAGCTGTAGGGAGTTTAATGTATGCCCAAGTATGTACGCGTCCAGACATAGCATACATAGTTGGGGTTCTAGGCAGATATTTAAGCAATCCAGGAATGGACCATTAGAAAACAGCAAAAAGGGTCATGAGATATTTAAAGAGAACAAAATATTACATGCTCACATACAGGAGGTCAGACCAGTTGGAGATCGCTGAGTTTTCTGACTCGGACTTTGCAGGATGTCAAGATAGTTTGAAATCCACTTCAGGTTACATTTTCATGTTAGCAGGTGGTGCGGTTTCTTGGCGCAGTGTCAAGCAAATCCTTACAGCTTCATCCACTATGGCAGCAGAATTTGTAGCATGCTATGAGGCGTCGAATCATGGAATATGGTCGAGAAATTTTGTCACGTGGCTGCAAATTGTGAAAGGCATTGAAAGACCACTTAAGTTATATTGTGACAACAAATCAGCTGTATTGTATTCCAACAACAACAGAAGTTCGACTAAGTCAAAACACATCGACATTAAGTTCCTAGTTGTTAAGGAAAGAGTACAGAGTGGACAGATTTCCATAGAACATTTAGGGACAAACTCCATGATAGCAGATCCTCTAACTAAAGGACTTCCGCCCAAGGTCTTTCATGAGCATGTTGCTCACATGGGTGTTTTACAGTTTGAGGAATTTGTGGTTTAGTGGGAGTTAGTCATTTTCATATATTTTATGTTCTATGTTTAATTTTATATATGTATACATTGTTTTTTTTTGGACATATTTGGTTATCTATGGATATGCGGTTTTCTTGTTCATTCATTACACTTTGTACATTAAGGTTATTGTATCGATCTCGATAAGTTAAAGTTTGGATCAGTTGAAAATAGACGTGTACAGATCACCTTCACGTAATTTTTCATGCTACACATTTCATGATGAATTCATGTCGTTTGGTTATGTTAGGATGAGTAATCATTGTTGGTTTTGTTTGCGATGATGCAATGAAAAGCTGGTCTGGTTCTATATCCTGATATGATTAATGGACAGGACTTTTGGAATATGCTAAAGGAATATAATGACAATTTTGAGCTCATAAAGTCTAACACATTTGTGAAGTTGTAAGGACATATATATTTGTGACTAGTGGGAGATTGTTGGCAAAATTTGGGTCATGTATATATATGATACATATTTAAATGTGTTAGGGTCATTATTTATTAAGTCAAATAATAAAGTGATATGGTTAAATTAAAAAGGTTTGGCTAAAGGCATATGTCATGAAAATAAAATTGTGTAGAGACCATAGAGTAATTTCTAATTTGATGAGGGGCCAAATTGGAAATACTAAAACTTAAGTAATTAACCTAATTTTGGTTATTTTAAGGGGTCATGGTCCCCTTCTGGGAGCACGTAGATAGAACGTAGTTACAGTCCCGTTCTTTTCTTTATATCCCCATCAAGAGAGAAAATCAAGAGGGAAATACAGGTGTTCTTCACGTAGAAGACCATAAGATCAATAATGCTCTAAAAGGGACATCATCATTATGGCTGATTCATGTACGCTTTCGCATTTAGTTTATAACATGTTTATGAGTATGAGATTACTTTATATTTGATCGTTAGATCGAAAATCATATTTAATTATCAGTTTGTCTGTGTTACGAGATTTTAAATTTAAATTACATTAAAGAAGTAGTAGGATTTAATTTAAGAGGAACAAAGAATACTTAAACCACTGCATGTTAGAAAATGTTTTATTGACTTGGAAAACCAACTATGGAAATATACTTTCTTTTTTTTTTTTAAATTGTTGTATAATGGTCACACTCGTATTAAAACCCATGACGATGTAATAAATTACTAAAACTTTCTTCAATAGACCCTAATAATTCGTCCAATATTTTATGTTTTATCCCATGCGATGACATTATGCTCGAGTCAAAAAGTAGTAATCAACACTATATGCACGTTGATTAAAAGAATTGTTTAAATACATTCTTATATTAAGAAGTTGTTTCTTTACAAACTGTAAATGAACTTCCATATGAGAAGCAATGAGGTGTTAGTCAAAGTAATGAAGAAAGTAAAGAAACCAATTTATATTGAAGAAGTTTCAAGTTCAACTAGAAAAGAAAAATGCAATAATAGTCTCTTGTGTTACCATCAAAACTCCAAAATAAAACAAAAATATAGCATCATGAAAAGAAAAAAAAAATTAATTATACAGTAAGGGCTACAGAAAATACCTGTAAAAATAATGAGCACCATGCAACAATATCTCAAAGAAAAATTCATGTTTACTTCACTTTACCACAAGTCTCTTAATTATTTTGTATGTGGGTTGGTTTGCTACATTAACCATGAATAATTCTATAAAATAAGAATTTAAGCTAAAAATACGAAATTATCAATAAGATATACTGAAAAAATCAAAGCATTCAATCACACAACTAATTTTCCTACACGACAATCTGGTTGGTATAAATCATATTGAACACCCATAATATAAGTTTTTTTAATTGATACATTTTCTGTGCAAATCTCAACCAAGTAGAAACTCGTGGATTTGTGCAAAGATACAAACACGAAAATTTGTGCACCAGATTTTGGTTTACAAATTATACGATCTATAAGTATTATCTCATCAACACTCAGTTTTGGTACCAATACCAATCGAAGTGTCTCTTTTAGACACGCTAATAAATCAAAACCTGAGCTATGTACAACAAATATCTGGTAAACTCGGTTCACAATTACTCAGGAATTTATTGACCAATCATAAGTCATGTAGCAGATATCAACACGACCACCATCACCTAAGAGATGTGTCAAAAGACCTGCTTTATTTGCATCCAAGTAATTTATTATCCACTTCAGTATGTTTCTCTCTTGTCCGAAATCCCCAGAGTACCTGCCAATATAAATATTTCTCGAGCAGAATGCTAGAGATTGAAAATCGAAACCAAGGCTGCAGAAATTCACAAACTGCTTACCACTTGAAAATTGGAGTGAGATGAATTGTCCTCTTCTCCAAGTCCACTTCAATTCCGTCATTCTCAAAAAACTCTCTAGCTGCACATCTCAATTCTTCTGCAACTCTGTAGGGTGAGAAAAACCTCACCTTTGGGCTCGACTTCGTGCCATTACAAAGGCCAAAGTGAACTAACGGATTCAGTTTGACAAGAGAAAGCTGCAGTTTGGTAGGAACAAGTTAATCATTCTTAATGACAGGAAGTTGTTTCTATGAGAAAAGAATACTGGGAATTAGAAAAAAATCTAATTAGAAAACACATACACACACACAAGTTGCAGCAGCAGCAATGAATAAATTCTAGGACAACATTAAGACCAAGTTCCCTGTATCCTTGCCATGAAGTTTCAACAATGAATTACCGATGATAGTGTAGAGTGGTACATTGTTTTTAGTCAGCAAAACAATCTTCCATTTAATGTCAGAAGAACAAAGTTCTGTATGTCATTGTTTGATTTGAAAGCTTGATGGAAAGGATATAAGGAACATATTCAAGATTCGTCCTTAATTTACTTGGTTATTTATGGTAAGGCTTAAATTAAACCAGCATGAAAATATCCAAAACCATATGTAGAGAAACTGCTTACCTCTAAGCGCCTGTCTCCTGAGCCAAAGGGTTTGATTAAGGAGTATGGTGACCTCCTATTGCTTCTGAGGATACCATTTTTTATAGTACTAAGAGAAAAAGGGTGCCCTCCAATCAAGTACTGGAAATCAGAGAAGGATCTCCTGTTAATTACACCTTCTTGACACCCTACTCTAATGATAGCATGGACGATCATGGCATTGTACAAATTTAAGAAGAAGGCAAGCGTCTCGTTTTCTGATAGTTCCAAGAGATTCACCCTCTGTAGATCTTGGGTCATGTTTACATACCTGTAGTCAGGAAATCGAGAAATCAAACTTCTTAGATGAATTCTACCAGCTTGATTGCCAGTTTACAAGGCAATGGGTAACTCAATGAAAATCAGTGACAAGACAACCCAAGAACTTGTCTATGTGCATGTAATGCGTTCCTTAGAACTCACATCAGAGGGGATGTGAAACACTGAAAATTATGGGTCAGCAAAAAGAAACTTGGAATGAGCAAATAAATGGTACACAGGGACACAAATGTCATGCATCGCATTCACAATATACACAAAAATATACATTTTAGTATATTCTGTATGTCATACCTACGAAATTCTTCACTTTTGCTAATGGTCACATAATCAACACGTTGCCTGTCTTCAGAAGCATAAGACTCAAGAATGGCACACATGATCTTGGTGAGCCTATCACACACTGCAGCTGCAGCCTTCGGTTCACTATCACTTGTGACACCGCGGAAGTTAAAGCATTTGGAGATAAAGGGTTCGTGCTCAATGAACCTATATAAGTGGTTTCCCTCCTCAAAATCAATTTCCCTATAAAACGAAGTTGACAATGCAAGAGTAATATTACTGAAGGAATGTGGCTCGTATATTAAAATGCACTTGTAGTTTCATAAAAGTTTTTTCCTTACCCGAAAACATGATGGATGAAATGCTTCTTGCATAGCTGTTTTCCAATCTCAACAGCCTAAACATGTGTGTAATGGAAACCATTTAGTGGAAAAGTTGCAGTTAGAGCAACACAATTGACGACCAAAGTATGTTTGAAATTGTTACATTAAAAAAAAATGTACATACTCTTAATTAAGAAACTAGAAATTATAACAATGATGTGCCAATTCTAAATCAAGCAATAGATACTACAATGATTGTTGGCCTTAATTTTATTTTATGAATAAATTTTGATTGACGCTGTCAGGAAGAAAGTTATTAACCTAGAAAATGGCAGCTATTAATAATAATAATAATAATAATAATAATAATAATAATAATAATAATAATAATAATAATAATAAATTATTTAAAATTTAATCTAAAACAATTTTAAGATAAATAACTTTACATATTTAATAAGGTTTACAAATTGGTATAAAATTATTTTATCATTTATTTTTATTTTTTATAAAATATATAATTTAGTCATTTTTACTTATTTTGCATTTTTTTCATATCTTATTTTGTTATGATTTTATGCTATATTAATTTTTTTTTTACTATTATTCGACACGTAAACTAGTTAGTGTTGATGGATATTGTTTCATTTTATTATAATTTAAACTTTAATATGAAACATTAAATAAAAATGCTGTATTGAATTATAGTCTATAATTATATCTAATCACAACTAAAAGAAATTTAAAAGTAAAAGACTCACGCTTCCTTAGTTTTTCATCTCTATTAAGTTGTTATTTCTGTAAATTTTGAAATTATTATTTAGTCAGTATAAAATATGTTATGTTTTTAAAATATTTTTATTTGATTTTCATTCTTTCAAAATTTGAAATTATTAGTTTGTTACTAACGTATATTTATCAATTTTAAAAGGTTTATAGAAATATTATATGTAATTATATTATATGACTCTAAGCACTTGACTTCTCGTTCTATTTGATTTTTATTCAATTCATAAATAGTTATTCAGTTTTAAAAAATAATTCTTTCATAAAAATTTAAAATTAAATATTAAAATCATATTTAAATTTAAATAATAATGATAAAAGTGTTATGAAAACTTACCAAGTAAGTGAAGTGAAATAATTATATTAACGGTACATTAAAATTAAATTCAATAAAAGTATAAAAAATAAGTAGAATTTAATATGCAAAAGGGATTAAGAAACAATAAAGGAAAAATATCAATTTATTATTTAATATCAAATCGATCTTAAAATGTTAAAATAGTTTTTAAAATTATAACTTAATGACAAAAATGATTTTAGAATAGAGCGTTTTTTTTCTTACACATCTGACAACCTAATTTACTATTTTCCAAAATATAAATAAAAATGTTTAATTGTAATTTTGGTCCTATACTTTACAACGTCCACAGATTTTGATATTTAATTTTTTTTTCAGTTTTAATTCTTTGATTTTAAATTACTGATAGTGTTTTGTCCCTTTTTTTTAACGTGATTTTATTCCTTTAATTTTTAATTATACGTAATTTTGTTTTTCTTATTATTTTGACGTATCACAGTGATATTAAGAAAAAAATACATAATACTCCATCTTTTTACGATATTAAGAAGGATAGCAATAGTAGGACTTGTTACTAAATATAATTAAATATTAACTCAACATATTTTGAAAAATATTAAACAATTTTTTAGATAATTAACAATTAATTAATCAAAATTACATAAAAAACTAAAATTATAAATAATTAAAAAAAATACAAAATGTAAAGAAAAAATAGAAACCAAAATTACAAATAACCCACAGTGAAAAAAGCACTGATAAAATTCCAAAACAGACAGAAAAATTGTAATTTAGTTTTACCAAAATATGCATAAAAAGATCTTACAAAATTCATTCTTAATTGTTAAGTGACATCAATTTAATAACAAACACCAACTTTCAAACGAGTTAGTTACGTTCAAGACAAAACGTCAAATATAATTTTTTAAACGTTAAAAAAAATCACCATCTCAAAGTCAACTTGTCAAATCAAATTTTTATATTTTAAATTAATTTAAATATTTCTTATGCAGTAATTAAAAGATTTCTGTCGTTCGTGACAACTTCTATCAGATAAAAATGTAGATATTTGTTTACATTAATGTATTCTAATTAAATTATAAAAGAGAACAAAAACACTTTAAAATAAATAATCGATGTAATCTTAGTATAAAAATATGGCCAAAATTTCACAATGTTAATTAATTAAAAATACAATTTTAAAGTAATTAATACATAAATTTATGATTAAAGAATAATGATCATACTTTCTACCTCTCCTCTTCTTAATTGATGGTCTACTCTTCTCAATAGATGAAAAAGTATATATATTTTAGTTACTGTAAATATTATTAATCTTAATATTGATAATATTCTTTTAATCTGATTTACATATTCATTTCAATTAATATACTATATCATTTGATATATTTTTTGATAAATTATTATACTAACGACGGAAACTCCATCGTTAATTAAAAATATGTACATGTCTAAATTTTATCTTAAAAAAAATATCAAGTTTTTATTCAATATTATGTTATATAACAAATAAATTGTTAATAATTGTATCATTGGTACGTTGGACGATGCCCACCATTTCAAACATATTTTCTTTATTAATAAAATTTATATTTGGGAGATTATCCACTTCCACATATCCGTTAAGATTTGTCAATGATTATTTTAATTTTAGTTGAATTCAATTTTAAATTTCAAAAAAGAAAAAAGGAATCAACTGAACGTACCTTGGAAGGAGCGTAGCCATGGTGGCGAACAAGAAGCTCCACCAACTCGCTCCCGGCGAAACAATTCCTCACAATTTTAATCTTCATCACCCTATCCTGAATTGGCAACCTCTGTCTCAAAACCCTAACCACCTTCCAAACCTCCTCATCCTCCGCTTCCTCCACCGCCTCGTCGAATCCATACGCCGGCGCTGCCGGCCCCTCCCCTTTCGCCTCCCTCAGCCTCCTCTCTAACTCCTCGCCGCCATCCTTCCGCAGCACGTTCAACTCCACCAGACCTCCGATCAGTCTGTCGCCGAAGAAAATCTTCGGCACCGTCGCGCTCCCCGTTCTCTCCCTCAACTCCTTCTCCCGCTCCACGAACACGTCCACATTTATCTCCACAAACCTCAGCGCGCGCTCTCTGAAGAACCTCCGCACCGCGCCGCACTCTCTGCAATTCGAGCGCGAGAAGAAGCTGATCCGCCGCTGCGGGGACGACGCCTCGTTTCTGATCGTAACGAAGACCTTCAGTCCCGAGAGGTTGAACTCCGTCACGCCGTTGTTCTTCGAAGCGCCATCGTCTTGGTGCTTCAGCGTGGAGATCCCGCGCGAGATTGCTGACGACAGGTCGTGGCGGCGCTGGCGGAGGAACTTGCCGAATGCGGAGGGGAGGACGACGTCGTTTGGGAGGGATGCGGTGGGGGGCACTGGCTTTGGAAGAAGTGAGTGAGGATGCACGATTGAGACGGAGGGAGTAACAACGGTAACGTCGTTTTGAATTTGGTGGGGGGGAGTGGACGACGTCGTTTCCGGTGGTGTGGATTGTGTTATTGTTGGTTGTTCTAAATCGGAACCCATTATTGCGGTTCTGTGTTGTGAGTGAACGAAGAAAACTAGGTGGAAAATGAGATTATGGTGTGGGGTTTTTATAGTGGAAGAATTGAAGTAAAATGTTGTAATCTCTTCAATTCAAACACTGAGTTCTCAGGTTACAAAGTAAGAAAATTTAAAATAGATTTTAAGTTCTTAATTTTTTCGTTATTGTTTATTATTATTTTAGTTCAAAACATATATTAAATTGTTATTTAAAATATATTTTTTGAAACATTTGACTGAACTAAATAATAAATGACAGTCTCACGCATTTTATCATTAATTTCTTATATTTAAATGACAATATCTCACTTTTTTATTAATAGTTACATTCAGAATTCTAAATTTAAATTTTGTGAATGAAAAATATATATAATTGAAAGAAAGACTCCAGAAAAGACAATAAATCAAGATTTTAGACGAAGATTATTAATAAAAAAACATAAATATTAAATCAATAATATAATCAACAAATTTGATAGAAAAAAATGTAAGAAAAAAATGGAAATGAATTATTTTGTTCATTAAATAAAAAAATATAATAAAAAAAACATTAAACCCTAAATTTCGTCTTCTCCTTCTTAAATTTATTTTTTAATAAATAAAACATTAAAGACTTATTATAAACCATTAGACACAAATATGAAATATTGAAGCTATAAACATAGAATTTGGGAGCAACGTTTAAAAAAATAAAAAAAATAGAATGTGATTTTGACAAACGTCTAGTGTGGGGCGTTCGAGGAACTGGTCACGTAATAGTGACGCACGCAAACAGACACGGTCTTCTTTTACTCTTCCTTCTGTCTTTATTTAAATTAAACAAATTATATTTTTTTATTAGGGAATTAAATATTTAGTTAAGAATATTTCAAATTGTTCATTTAGGTAAGTTTGTGTTTTATTTTTCTGTTTAAAATCCTATGGATTGGTTTAGTTTAAAAGAAATAGAATGTACTTTACTTTTTATTTCTTCATTTATAAAGTTTATTTAAACATAACATTTTTCTAAAATTTACAAATAAATAACTAGCTGATTTCAAGTGATATATAGAGTTTTACATTAGTGTTAATTATTATGTAAAAATAAAGCGATATTTTTTAATTACTTGTCAATATACTTTTTGTTTATGAATTATTTTGTTTACATTAATTTTTTTCTATAACTATTTAAATTAAATAAATTTTTAAATCATATATTTAATAAGTGATTTTGGTTTTCATTTAATAAAACGACATCAAGAAATTGAAATGTAAATAAATAAATTAGTGATTATGCACTAAATGATTAAAATTGTATAACATTATCCATTCTTTATTTACCTGGTGTAATTTTGATCATAAAAGTTATCTCATAATAATTATTCATTATTTCTAAATATATCATAAAACCATGATAACTATGATGAAAGTTTTTTAAGAAACTTTAGAGACATAAAGTTTAAAAACTACATTAATAATCACAAATATTTATTCCTTGTGTACATGAAGATGCGGGTTATATCTTATAAACAGGTTATATTTTTTTTCTTAAAAAATATTTAGAAAGAGTTTATCTAAATATAATATAAATATGTTTTTTTTTATTTCATAAAAAAAAAACTGTCAATACTTTATCATTTTTCTGTTGAAAGATGTTTACTAAATTAAAAATGAAATACTCATTGGAAATAGCAAGTACGTAGATGTTAAGTAAGTTTACCAATATAATAGCTTAATGAGGTTGTTAATTAAAAATCACGCAATGATTATTTTTTTTTTTTGTTCTGAGTCTTGGTTAGAGACTCTTTAACCACTGCTTTATTACTGGGGCTTCTGATAAAAAATGTTGACCAATGTTTATTAGCAAAAGTAAAAGTAATTTCTGTTGTGACTGATTTTGTAACGAAAAATCTAACCAAAGACTTTGATCGTCGAAACAGAGAAAAAAAACATAAGAAAATGTTTTGTTTTATTTGATCTTTTTTATGATGTATCCAGAGTGTTGGGTGTGAGAAGGATTGGACGTACCCATCACAGCGGAAAGACCAACCAATGCTGCCCGCAGACAGCACTCTTGCATGGAATGTGGCGATAATGTAGGCAGATTGGATTGCTTTCATGTTGGTCCAAGTGGGGACATTCTGTGAAATTAGGTTCAGACTTTGAAAATTCTCAATTTCAGAAACCATTTAAACAGTCTCTCCCAATAACTTGTTTCTATAAGTTATCACATCTAAACTTTTTATCAAACGCTTCAACCATTTCAAACCAACTTTTAAGATATTGCCAATTCTCCCTACTAATAAAATAAATTACACATAGATTGGGCCTCCTCGTATCAATGCACTTAGTTTGGGGAATGTCCACTGAATTTTCTCTGACTCATTCCTTCCTTCTTCTTCAAGGCATAAATTAACCTGGTCTTCAAATTAGTGATAAGGATGCATCAAGTTTTACAAAGTCAATGCCATTGTGTCTAGTAGTAGTATAGTAGTATCATTGTGCTTTGTCACCAAAGTCAAAATACTATATTCACGAAAGAAATAGTAAAACACCCAAATAATATTAGCATAGCATGTACTTAATTACAACCACTACTACTACTACTATTATTATTATTATTATTATTATTATTATTATTATTATTATTATTATTATTATTATTATGCATTCTTAGTTTCTCAAGCATTAATTATGTATTTTTAGTTTATTAAATTTAAATTTTCTCAATTTGGTCACATTCCAATGGTCTCAACTGGATTTCTTAGATATAATAGTTATGCAATTTTAAAATTATACATATTATAGTTCCGATGTTTCATTGTCCGGATCTGCGCCGAGGGTTTTGAATCCTATGGTTGGTGCAAGCTTAAACAATGTTATGGGCTTCAAATTAGTCATGACTGCACCCTCCTACTTTCCTTTTACACTCTTATATTCGAAAAGTTTATTTCAAATATTTTAGGATTGACTTTCCCAAAAAGTTTTTGGAAAGATCAAGATCAATCCAAAGTTTTTTTCAGAAAATTGCTTCCAAAAAATAAAATTAAAAAATGAGTTTTGGTTTATATTTTTTAAAAATATATTACGGATTTAACAATCTAAAATATTTTCAAGAAAACAAAATCCAGAATAAGTTTCATATTATTAAATTTGAAATATATTTTTAGAAAAAACAATCTTAAAATAAGTTCTGGATTTTTAAATTTAGAATACATTTTCAGAAACACACAATCTAAAAATGAGTTATGGATTATCATATCCAAGACTCATTTATGGATTGTGTTTTTTAGAAATATATTTCGGATTCAACAATTTGAAACATCACAAATGCAAATTAAATGTGTTTTTTATGAGATTTTTGGATGCAAAATATGTTATACTATTCAAAGTATAAATCACCAACAAATTTCTAATCTTATAGTAAAAACGATGGTTGAATGATGGCGTAGGAGATGCAATTATTAATATGAAGGTGCAACACAAAAGAGGAAAGCTAGTCTCAAAGATATTTTTAATATTTTACATATATTATAGAGGTGCAGAAGAAATTATTGGAGTACAAAAAGAAACAACCTTAATCATTAGATTCATGTCAAAGTTGGTTTGCTAGGAGGGTGTTTCTTCCTACGCCTCACAAGTTTCTTTTACCACCTCCCATTTCATTCAGAAATATAAATAATATATTTGGGATCTATGTTAGGTTAGGCTCCTATTATCTATCTAAAAAGTCTATATTAGTCAAACCCATTTTATCTCATTTAATCTAAGTAGAGAAGGGTCTTCTAGGTCAAAATAGAGAGTCCTTTGGAAGAGAAAAAAAAAAGAAAAAATAGTTTCGCTTATTTATCGAGCTACTTTTCTAAAATTACGATTTTCTCTTAGTTCACCGGCTGAAATTTTGACATCAGGTTCGTGGCATAAGAGTCTTCATTTTGACGGTTGAAATCTTCAATTGAAGTCTATGATTGGAGATATCAATCTCGCATGGTGGTTGGTTTTTATATTTCTTTTGTTTGTTCTTCAAATTTGAGACCTCGGTTGCTTTGATATATTGGCTGCTTTGTATACACTTAATTATGCATTTTGATTTGACGCTCTTGTACTCATACTTTAATACTTTGATCTCTACTTAATTGTGCATTTTGATTTGACTCGTACTTATACTTTCATACCTTGATCTTAGTGGAACTTGATTGACTAGCTTGTACTGGTGGGTTTTTATTTCTCATATTAAGGAGGTTTTCCCACATTAAAAATATTGATATTCTTTATTGTAATTATTTTTGTCATTATCTGTTATTTCTCACATATTCTTGCAAGTTTAGGCAAATTATTTCTTCTACATAATTTAGTATTTTAGATTGTTGTATTATTTTTTTCCTATCATAGTGACATCAGAACTCTTATTTTTTTTTTAGGCTATATTTACTTCCTTGAATAATTGATTGAGATAAATACAAAGATGATTATTTTTAAATGGTACAAATTATCATTTGTGGAAATGCAAGATGAAAGATTTGTTGTTTCTGAAGAAATTGCATCTTTTTATCTTTGTTACACAAAAGCTGGATTCTACATCTGTTAAAGAATGAGATTTTGATCACCAACACGTGTGTGATTTTATTCGGCAATATGTAGAAGACAATGTTTATAATCACATAGAGACATGTAAAACTTTATGGGAGAATATTTAGTTCTTATACGCTTTTAAGTCAGGCAATAATAAACTATATTTGTTGAATTATTTAATGAATTTAAGATAGAGTTCTTCCATTTCAGATTACTCAAATGATTTTAAAGGGCTCCTAGATCAATTGTCAGGAATGAGTATAAATTTTGATGATGAAGTTTCGAGACTATGACTACTTAGTACTCTACCAGAGTCTTGGGAGATATTTCGGGTTTCAATTACAAACTCAGCCCCTAACAACATTGTTTCTTTCCAAATGGCAAAGAGTGATGCTTTTAATAAAGAGATGAGAAGAAAGACACATGGTTCTTCATCTCAGTCTAAGGTAAGAGAAGGAGCAAGTCCAAGACAAGATACAATAATATAGAGTGTCATTATTGTAATAAATATGGGCACATCCAAAAATACTATTTTAAGTGAAAAAATGATAATAAAGGCAAGAAGGGTAAGGAGAAAGAGAATGATCATAATGATGATCATGTTACTACTACATATGGTGACCTTGTTCTTCTTCTTGACTATGAGCCTATTAATATTGTATCTGATGAGAGTATGTTGATAATTGATAACGGTGCTACACTGCACGTTACATCGAGAAAGGAGTTCTTTACATCTTACACTTCTGGTAATTTTGGAGTGTTGAAGATGAGTAATGATGGTATATCAAAGGTTGTTGATGTTGGTGATGTTTGCTTGCAAACTAACATGGGAATACAATTATCACTCAGAGGAGTCAAACATGCTCCAGATGTGCATTTTAATATGATATTTGTGCATTTGCTTAATGATTGTGGTTATGACAATTACTTTGATTCTAGTAAATGGAAGCTCACTAAAGGTAACTTGATCATGGCTAGAGGAGAGAAAAATTCTAAATTATATTGGACTAAAGCTTTGGTTGCTAAGAACAGTGTGAATGCTATGTATATGGAGACATCTTTGTGGCACCGAAGACTTGGTCATATAAGTAAAAAAGGGCTTAATTGCTTAGCTAAAAAGGACATACTTTTAGGATTGAAGAGTGCAGAGTTGGAAAAATGTTCTCATTGCATGACTAGTAAACAAATCAGAGTATCCTTTAAGAAACATCCTTCCTCAAGAAAGTCAGAGTTGCTTGAATTGGTGCATTCTGATGTTTGTGGTCCATTGAAGATAAAGTCATTTATTGGTGTACTTTACTTTGTTACTTTTATTGATAATTGTTCCAGGAAGCTATAAGTCTATCCACTACAAAGAAAGGATCAAATACTTAAAAAATTCAAAGAATTTCATGTTTTGGTTGAGATGCAATCAAGTAAGAAGCTGAAATATATTCGTACTAGTAATGGTGGTGAGTATCGTGAATCCTTCTTTGATATTTATTGTAAGTAGTAGGGTATTATACATGAAAAGACTCCTCATAAAACTCCTCAGTTGAATGGTTTAGCAAAGAGGATGAACAAGATTTTGCTTGAGAGAGTTAGATGTATATTTTCTGAAGCAAAACCGCCTAAACATTATCTATTATTATTGTCTCTTTACATATTCTAATCAATTTAGAAAAATTATTTCCGCTACATAATTTGATATTTTAGGTTATTATATTATTTTTCCCTATCAATCTAAAATAAATGAAAGGTGGAAGCATAAATAAATATAGTGCTTCGATTATTTTTATATTTTGTTTGTATTTAATATATTTTTTTTGGATCACCACGTTCGTTTCTGAATGAATTTTTATTAGAATATATTATGAAAAAAATAAATATTCGAGCATGTTTTCTTATATTTGTAAGTTGGATTGACTAATTGAGTGCAATTATATCAACTTATAACGAGCGCATTTTTTCTTGATTCAAACAATTGAAATATGAAGTAAAAGAATTACATCTTTTTACAGTCAAAGAAATATCAATGAAGAGAGAGTTAAATAGGTTTCAAGAAAAAAAACATCTTGGCCCACATAAAAGATGAAGACACCTTTGTGGCTAGTGAAACCTTGACATCTGAACCTTCATTTCCTTGCACAATATCTCCGATTCCTTTACTCTCAGTTCCATTCTCTCAAGGTTTCGTCTTATATCTTCTTTCTCTTCCAAGAATGAATCTGTCTTGTCATGGTAAAAAATGATTTGGGAGGGGTTTTTACTTTCCTCAATTGCTAAGTCACTTGATGGAAAGTTGGTTTGTTGAGAAATAAGAGCCTGCATTGCAATCATTGGAGGTATTCTGGGGTTCTTTGCAAGATGTTTACAAACTTCAAAGCTGAGTTTATTGTAATTAAGACATCTACACAATCTTGACCTGTTCTCAAATGCCAGCATGGGATGAGACTGCAATGGTAATTATTTCCAGAAATGAGGCAATTTTATATTGGTAATTGTGTAAGTCAAATCATATTGGTAATAAAATACAAAATTCTCATAAATACAAAATATATTGTAGCAATGCTGAACACGGAACTTCATTATTTAGAATTGGATTTTGCACGAAAGTTGTGTGGTGAGCAGGGTAAGAACAAAAATTCATAGATTATAATAATGGCAACATTTGGCCAAGGTCACTTACCATCTGCTCGGGGCACTTCCCTTATCTTTTGTTTTTATTGAGATTCAGAAATTTCACAATTCTTATGGAGAGATAAGCTGGTTCTTTGAATACATGATCACTACAGAAACATGAGTCCTATAAGTGATTTATCACCTTCCATTACAAAATTTAAAACATTGATTATGAGTTTTTTTTTTTTTTTTTTATTTGTTACTCATCCTTTCTCGTTCTTAGACAAATAAGGATATGTAACCAGAGTAGTATACTCACTAGAGTCTTAGGTAAGTTCGGAGGTAAGGAATTGGTTAATTTGAGTAAGATTTTAAGCTTAAAATTTAAAGAAAAGAGAAAACAGCGGCAATAGAGAAAGGGTATGTGATATTCACCTGAAGATAGATATCAATGGCTCTGTAAACTCCATCAAAGCAATTCCTAGCACAATCAGGCAAACATTCTGCAACTGCAAGAAATTTAGTGACCTTCAGGTTCTGATCTGGGGATATCTCTATCAAATACTTGTCAACTAATCTACCAACTTTTTTCAATTTCTGTACACACCCCCAATCAGATCCATTTATATAAACAAATTGCTTAATCAATCTTATCACAAATGTTACATCATAATATAGCCCCATATGGTGCCCAGAGACTAGTAGATCATCCAAAGTTGCTTGCTCAAGCACCCCACCAATCAATTTCTCAATTTCAACTCTGCAATCTCTGCTCATCCCAAACCTTGATACAATCCTTAGTACCCAAAAAAGGCCTCTACAAGAAAAGCTCTTGTTACCAACAAATATGACCCCATAAACAGCTGTTTCTGCAAGACCAGCATACTCAACACTGTTGTTGTAATTAACCTCTTTTAATTGGGTCACTATTTTCAGATAATGAAGCAGAAACCTTGTGAGAATTGAGTTGTTGTTGGCTGTTTTGTAGGCACCAATAGTCTGGAGAATCTTCTCAATTATTCTTGGGGGTAAAGTAGCCAAATCCTTAAACCACCACTCTTTGTTTGCCCAAGTTGACTTTATAGTCTTGGGAGTAACTTGTGTTGAATAAGAAAATCTCTTGGCCGAATCACTCTCAGCAGATGATGGGATGATGAAGAAGAGGATGTGAAGAGGTTTACTTCAGAATTTTGATCCATTTTTGTCAAGAGTGCACCAATAATATTCTCTAATAGACCATAACTCTCTGCACATGTATGAAATAGTTCACAGTTCTTCATGAGATTCACAAGAATTTCATTCCATGTCCAGTAGTAGATTCTCTCAAGAAAGGTTTCTGTTTGTTGCAAGAGATTGTTGCTGGAGACCTCCTCGGACATTTCTAGATAAAGGGCACCGCAATGGAGGAGAACCACGTTTGACACACTGAGGAGGATTTTGCCATGGTTGTAACAGAATCTTGAAACCAACTCAAACCCTTCTGGCCCTCCAGGGAAATCATTGATTTCAATGCTCAAGGTCTTGCTGTAGCACATTCTCTTTTCATGGTTCAAGATTGCTTTCATCCTTCCACAGTATTTTGATATGATATTCTGCAAAATAAATAATGAACTAAATTGCTGATACTGAATTTCGCATCCAATTTCCTTGAATCTAACAATGTAAGTGAATAAACAGTAATGAGCTCCTGGAATACCTTGTCCAAAAGAAATGTTTCCTCCTCATTAATGTGGATTTGCAAGTTTCTTTGCTTTAGCATAATGCTACTTCTGCAAGCAAAAAGCAGATGAAAATTGTACTTTGAGAAAATAAAATGAATATGTGTATATATATATATATATATATATATATATATATATATATATATATGCTAGAATGGCCAGGTTGTATGAGAATCTTAGTATCTTACCCTATCCTCGTGCCCAATGTGGAGTTTCATTGTTTTTATATAGAAGTGGGGTGCTTCATCTAGTTCTCTCATCTCAACAATGTATCTCTATTATCTACAGTGCAACCACAGTTTCAGTTATGGTTTTGGCTATTTCAAGATAGATTCCATAAATGAAACTTTTTGAAGCAATATTTTCATTCAAGCAGGGAGTGTTTTTATGAGTGTGAGTGTGTTATTTATGTGGCCTTATTGTCCTCTTGCATGAACAAGTTGTCCTATCTCACAATTATAGGAAAACGTCAATGATTTTTTGGTGTTGAAAACAACTTGATGGGGGCAGAGAATGACAATGGAATATTGTGAAGGTTTGTCTGACAGGGTCAGAAGGTCAAGAAAGCATGTTGTTAAATAGTTTTCAGCTGTGCCACGTATATGCCTTGCCTTTGGAGTTCCTCAGCATGTGAAGATGAACCCATGTATCCATTGTTATTTTCTAACGATTATGAAGTTAAGGATTAAATTCATCAATTTAAAAAATAGATATATGATAGAAATTTATAATAATTAATTTTTTTAATGAATTATTATTATATTTTATTTTGAAATTTATGAATTTAAATTATAAGAAGATAATATGACAAATAGTGTGTTGTTTATATAATGTCATTTTTTTATTATTATGTGGGCCAATCATCATAATCTGCAAGTCTGCGCTCACGCGGGATAGGTCAAGAAATTCAACTATTGTTGCTTCCTGCACCTATAATTAAACTTCACTTCACCTTTATATTTATTTTTATCTTATTTTTTAAACACATTTAAGATTAGCTTTTTGTAACATATTATCCAACACCCAGTATGGAATGCCTTCATGGAAAATATTCCCCAACATCCAATCTATAATATATTTTTATATTGATATTTCTAAAAATATAATCTAAAATATCAAATTTAAAATATATTTTTAGATTAATTTTTTTAGAATTTAATCTTATTTTTATGATACTGTTTTAAATTAAACCATTTAGATCTGATTATATAATTTAAGTATAAGAATATATAATTCATAATATTAATGATTACTTATCTTTAGAATATGTTATGGAAATTTCTTGAAAATTTATTTCAAAACCTTTTTAGAAGTATTCCAAAATCAATTTTTTGAAATATATTTTGAAAAATATAATCCAAATAATCCATAACTTATTTTGAGAATGAGTTTTTCGGAACATATTTCTACTACTAGGTACAGTATTATCATCTTAAATAAATATGGATGTACACATGGGTTGCGGCAACAGACATCAACATGGGGTGCAGCAAGAAACAACCATACAAAATTATAGAGATAAGAAAGAAATTTCGAAATTGTAACAAGAAAGTAAAAGAAAAGAAAAACAAAAACACAGTAACTTTTACCATTCGAAGCCCAGCTCGTGGAAAATGTGAAACAAATTAAGGCCTGACCGCTATAAGGGTTATGATAAAGTTTTCAAGATTTTTTCACTAATGCTATTAACTTCTATAATTTGATACGAATGCTACCTAAAATATAACCATTTTTCTTTCTCATCATAAGCTTTTATTTCATAAGGCGTGTGACATAAATATCCATGAAAAATGAAAGATTTTTTTGAGGGAGGATAGTTTTATGGTTTGTTTATGTTTATTGAACAAAGATTGGGATGTGTCGTATCTTTTATCAATTTATTTAAACCATTGTTGGAAAATACAACAGGATGAAAAATCTTCTTTCAATAGCTGAGATAAAAATTAAATTTTACTTAACAAACATAAAAGTATTAAATTTATATATAATATCCATGTGTTGAAAACAATCAAGTATTTTGGAGTGAAAAGTTGAATAACAATCAAAATCAAAATAAGAAGTTTCATCCACTCTCAATCTGAAAAAAATTTCAGTGCAATAACTTTTTTGGTGCAAGGATTTGACATGTTTGAATTTATGAAACAGTCACACACAAATATTTCCGATTAACACAACCCTTAAAAGATTGAAAAAGGTTTCAGACCTAAACTCAAATTGACAGTGAAAAAGACGAAAATATTAAAAAAAAAAGGAAATCAAAACTTTTAATGAGTTTAGACGGTACTAATGATCTTGTATGAAAAACAAATGGACAAGTTGTTTAATTAAATGTAACCCTTTTATATTGAAAACATGTTGTCATAAGACATTGTTTGGGTTATGAACCTTCTCAATTCCTTCTGATGTTTGAACAATTCAAATAAAAATTGTGTTGTTTTTATTTTGTCAATTACGACATTTGTACCGGTTAACTATCACGGCAAATAATTATTAAAAAAAGTTTTATATTCAGATAATATTAATTTCATCGATTAAATTTATTTCTACATATATTTTAGAATTGTCAATTGTTTTTATAAATATTCTATTTACTTCAAGTTAGACAAGAATGAATTATTTAACATAGATTACTATTACTACTACTACTATTATTATTATTATTATTATTATTATTATTATTATTATTATTATTATAAAAAATATGATTAAAACTACTTATAAAATTTATTATCATGAGAGAAAGAATGAATTATTTAACATAGATTACTATTACTATTACTATTATTATTATTATTATTATTATTATTATTATTATAAAAAATATGATTAAAACTACTTATAAAATTTATTATCATGAGAGAAAGAATGAATTATTTAACATAGATTACTATTACTATTACTATTATTATTATTATTATTATTATTATTATTATTATTATTATAAAAAATATGATTAAAACTACTTATAAAATTTATTATCATGAGAGAAAAAGGAAGTATTTATCTAAAATAAGACTATAAATATGAACTTTCTTAAAATGTTATTATTTTTATATAAAAAAACATAAAATGGAGGAAGAATGAAAAGATGGAAAATAGATAACTTCAAGAATAATAGAGTAAAGGAAGATAATAAGTTAATTGTTTTTTAAGAATTTAACCACTCATTTAGCTTAAATAATTTACTTATCAATTTTTTAGTAAATAAAATACTTATAATTATAAAATATTATGATTTATTTATTTTTTATATTTTTCAAATATATTATATATTAAATTTAATTAATTAAATGTGAATGATAAATAATTTCTATAAAAAATTATTATTATAATAATAATAATAAAGAATGATCATCAAATAGTATTTTTATGGTTTAAAGCTGAAAAGTAATAATTATATTACTATTTTTATTAATATACATAATACATATATTTCATTCTATCTTTTATCCATTTTATGTTTTATAATTATTTACTTTTTTTTTTTTTTTTTTTGAAATTTTAAATTAAGAAAGGAGAAACTAATTAAACAGAATAATCTTAATGCACCACTAAAATGTATATTTTAGTGACTGAACAAATCTGTAAAAGAAAAACATGTAAAATTATACATCATTAGGATTTTGTGACGATGATATATATTTACTTTAAAGTTAAACTTTTTTTTATTTTTTTAATAAACAAAAAGATTTGTTTTTTCTCTATCTTTTCCGTCACAAAAGTTCTTATCTATAGCCCATACTCTCTAATTTCATTCAACTCACAAAAGTTATGGATAAATTATAATAATAATAATACTCACAAAAGTTATTTTTTTTAAATATTCTTATTTTTTATTTATGAAATTTATTTTATTAGATATAATAAATTTTAGAATAAAAGTAATGAAATATCCAAATATTATAATATTTCAATGTAATAGAGTAGAACAAAGCTTAAAAATCTATGTTTAACTCGTGAATGGGCAAGTAACGATCTAAAGATAAAATTTAGAGTACAACAAATAAAACATGTTGATATAAAGTTGGTGATAAACTGAATAATACAAACAATCTACAAATAAAATACATGTACGATAAATAAAATAGAATGTTACTGATGTTACTGAGAATATGATAAAAGATAAATTAATGTTACTGAGAATCTCGTATATATCACCAACTTTCTCTTTATGCATGTAATCGGATGGTTCTCCGTGAAGCTTCTATTAATGAATTTAATTTCATTTTTGGATTCGTAGAAATTACGGATATTCTTCAGCATTAAATAATATCAAGGGTTGAACGTAACTTATTTATCTTCTCACCCTTAGTATCTATTTCAATACACATTTCTCAATAGAATGTAATTTGTACTCTTTAGATAATATTCTTTGTTCTTTAACTTCAAATCTTTTAACTACATAAAATCTTTAAAGTTCTAGAAAGAAGTTTTCTTCAACCAAACTTTTTATGTACTTTTTTCACCTGCTACATAATATATCTTATTTAAAATCTGATATCAACAAATGATAAATTTTTTTTAAGGTTTGTATTTAAATAAATTTTATATATAGTCTTGTTTTTTATATCTTTCCATTCAATAATATCAAATTCAGGAGACTTACCAAATAAGTAATTCATCACAATATGAGTTAGAACATGGGAGGAAGAAGAACAATCTTTTGATTAACTTAAAAGTCGGAGTTCTCCAGAAAGCGGAAGATTCATTTGCCAATTTTTTTAACCTGAAATAATAATAACAAATGTGATTTATAGAAAACAAAACAAATTATAATAAGGTAATGAAGTAATTATTAACCAAAATATCATATTTAAAAAATAAATAAGACTTACTTGAACACCGACTTAGCATTCCCCATTATTTCAAACAATTTAGTAAAACGAAGGAATAAATTCTTCTATTCACCGAAATCATGCATATTAATATATACATGTTCCAATAAAAGAAAGACTCTCTTCAATGCTAAACTCATACATGTAAGAGTTGTCCAAACGATCGAAGTTTTGATGTGAAATGTTCAATAGCAAAGCCAGAA